ACTGCACTCCGGTCTGGGCGACCGAGTGAGACTCCAACTCAAAAAAACAAACAAACAGAAACAAAAAAAGAGAAAGCTCAGCATTTTGGAGGAATGGCCAGCGTGGCAAGAACATTGCACTTAGGAACGGCGTGAGAGAGAAGGCCTGAGAGTCTTGCAGGCCGTGGGGAGGCGTCTGGATTCTTCTAGGTGTGAGAGGAGGTGGAGAGAAACATTCTGATCTGCCGAGTGATGGGCGGCTTGGAGGGTGGCAGGTGTGCCAGTTGGAGACCCCAGCAAGGCAAAGGACAACAGTGGCTGAGACCAGGGTGGTGACCGGAGAGACGAGCGCTCTGGATGGGTTGGGGATTACAAGAGGAATCAATAGAAACCGACGGCTGGTGAGGGAGGAGGGGGGAGCCAGGTGGGGAGCACGTGCTTATGGGCCCACCCACAAAGGCAGAAGAAGGGAGGAAGCTGTTCCAGCCATCACTGAGCCTGGGTTGGGGGCTGGTGTGACTGTGTCCCCGTCTCCTTGCCAGGGAGTACGAGAGTCTGTATGCCAGCCACATCTGGATCCCCAGCAGCAGGTGTTCCCCCGCCGTAGGCCCTGAGTGTGACGTCACCGACGACATCACGGCCAACGTGCAGTACAACCTCCGTGTCAGGGCCACCCTGGGCTCGCAGACCTCAGCCTGGAGCACCCTGGAGCACCCCTTCCACCGGAACTCGAGTAAGCACGTCTCTCCTCACTCCCTGCCAGGCTCTTTCTCGGAAACCTTGTCTGCCTGGACTTTCCAGACTCTTTTTAGCATCAGGTCTTGTGTAAACACAAACAGCCCCTACGGGTACATTTGAAAAACCGCCAACTGCTTTCCACGTGCTTCCTCTCCAATGCCCTTGACTTTGGAAGCCATTCCTGACTGGCACGCTCCGCCTTTAGGGGGTGGGGAACCTGGGGGCAAAGCTGCTCGGAAAGTGGAAGGTGGCCCCAGGACTGCTGCTTCCCACCCTAACTGTTCCTCCGTGATGCTCACACTGCCTCCCCTCTGGGGCCTGATTATCCCCATGTTGAATGCCTGTGTGAGCAGCTTCACCGTGCAAAAGGATCGATAGTTTAACAGAGCCAGCCGGGCACGGTGGCTCTCGCCTGTCATTCCAGCACTTTGGGAGGCGGAGGCGAGAGGATTGCCTGAGCCTAGAGGATCGAGACCAGCCTGGGCAACTTGATGAGACCTCATCCCTACGATAAATTAAAAAATTAACTGGGCGTGGTGGTGCATGCTTGTGGTTCCAGCTACTTGGAAGGCTGAGGCGGAAGGATTGCTGGAGCCCAGCAGGTCGAGGCTGCGGTGGGAGTGAGTGTGTCCCTGCACTCCGGCCTGGGTGACAGAGTGAGGCTCCTACTCAAAAAAAAAAAAAGTTACAGAGTCACCAGAAACAGTTGCCCTGTTATGGTCACTTCTATGGGTCATAACTTTTCTTAACTTAATTTTTAAAAAATCATTATTATAAAGATGTGGGGTATGACATCACTTTTCCATTGCAGCAGTACCTGGAAAAAAGGCCTGAGAAACAAGTCAGAGAAGAAGCCAGGTGGGTGGCCAGCTATGGCTGAGGGCGGGCGATGGCTAGTGTGGAAAAGGATGTCAGTGTCTGGGGAACATCAGAGGCAAGGGCTGGATGGGCGGAGGGTCGGGACGCCGCTGGTGCGTGGTGGTGAAGGGCTGTGACGGGAGGCTTGACCAAGCCAGGAGCAGAGAGGGTCTGGCCCTGTCTGTCTCAGAGCCATCACTCTGGCTGCTCTGTGGAAGGTAGGCCGGAGCAGGACAGGGGAAGGGTGGGGATGGGGTTTGGGACGCACCTGCTGCTCCCAGGAGTGGGGAAGCCGTGGGGGGGAAAGGGTAGATCCAAGAGGCATGGCGGGGTGAGGGAGGGTGGCTCTTGGGGACCAGTGTGGGGGAGGGACAGGGGAAGACGAGGAAGATGTCCAGCCTCTCGCTGGGGTTGGAGAATCCAGCCAAGGCGGAGGACCCAGGGGGCACTTGGCCTTGAGGAACAGGAGACATCCCTGGCTCTGGGCTCTGAGACTGAGGTTTCCACAAGATATCACGCCACAGAGGTCTGGTTGGCAGCCGGAAATCAGGCCCTGGGCTACAAAGAGGTCGGAGCCAGACACACACATCATAGAGTGAACAGACGAAGGCTTAGAAGCGGATGAGACCGCTTAGAACACGATATGGAGAACGAAGAGGGTACAGGGTCCTGGGAGATCCTGGGTTTTAACCTGAGGATGGAGGGAAGGGTCCTAGGAGGCCAGGTGGGTAGAGCGTCGTGGACAGAGAAAGTGACTTCACGGAGGAGGGGATGACTGTCTAGCTTCTGGGGTGGAGGACTCCATGGAGGTGGGGAGGAACGAGGTAGCTCCTCGTGGGAATGTGGCCAGCTTGGGGTAGCAGGAAAGGGAAGGGCAGGACCTCTGCTGGCTGCTTTCTTGATGGGGCCGGAGAGCATCTGCCACGGGTGGGGACAGAGGATGGTTGGAGACGCATCTGCGGTCCTGGGATGAGTCAACGGTCATTGCGAAGTGTGTGATGCTGGGTGGAAATTAGGAGGGTTTAGAAGGTGGGGTGCCCGGGATGGAGGAGGTGGGAGAGGGTGGAGACAGCTTTGAAGGGGGTGTTGGCCCCGTGGAGTCAGATAGATGTGGCTCAAATCCCAGCTCAGCCTCCTTTGTAAGAAGGACAGCGGTTTGTCTCACGGGTTTTGTGGCAATGACATGAGATGAAACGTGTAAATGTTCGGTGCAGTGCCATCTGATCAACTATTGGTAGATATTATTATTATTATTATTACTACTATTAATATTATAGTCAGAGTCTCACTCTGTCACCCAGACTGGAGTGCAGTGGCATGCTCATAGCCACTGGAGCCTCGACCTGCTGGGCTCCAGCAATCCTTCCGCCTCAGCCTTCCAAGTAGCTGGAACTACAGGCGTGCGCCACCTTGCCCGGCTAATTTTTTGATGTATTGTAGAGATGAGGTTTCATCATAATCTGGAACCCCTGGGCTCAGGCAATCCTCTCGCCTCCGCCTCTGCCAAAGTCTTGGGATGACAGGCGTGAGCCACCACTCCCAGCTGGTAGGTATTATTACCATGATGCCCAGGGATGCCCAGAGCTGAGAGCCAAAGACCAAGCAGACTGTGGTCACCGGGAGGATTTGGTTGAAGTGGGAGGATCCCAGTGCCAGGGACTGGGGGAGGAGGCTAAGGGGCACTGGAGGGCACTGCAGCTCTGCCTCTGCCGTGGTGCCCAGGCAGCACCCGGCACCACCTCCCTCTGGCTACTGGGAGCATGGGACTCCAGCCAAGATCGTCGCTGGGGCGGGTAGCTCTTGCTGAAAGAAAGGCACGGGTGAGACGGAGAGAAGGGAGTGTCTACAGAGCCGTGTGGGTGGGGGTGTGCAGGGCGACCTTAGACTTAGGGACGCCAGTGTAAACAGGAAACGGGCTTGCTGCCGGGAACTGAAGAACAAGGCTCTGTCCTGGCAGAAGGTGAGAGGCGCCGTCCTGTGTGATCCCAGCAAGTGGATTGGGATGGCATCGTGGTCTCTTAACGGTATCAAGTCTGTCCTTTTCCATTTGGAAAAGACCATTCCAACCTTCTCCCCATGCACACTTGAAAGACCTTACTTAAAGGATCTCCTAAAACTCCTTGGAGGCTGAGGCGGAAGGATCGCCAGAGCCCAGCAGGTCGAGGCTGGGGTGGCCATGAGCGTGCCACAGCACTCCAGCCTGGGCAATGGAGTGAGACTCCAACTCAAAAATAAGGAAATAAGTAAATAAATAAATAAATAAATAAATAATAAAGGGTCTTCTACTCTTAAAGGGACGCCTTGTTGAGATCAGATTTATTTTTTTGGAGTCAGAGTCTCACTTCATCGTCCAGGATGGAGTGCAGTGGCATGCTTGCGGACAGCCCAACCTCGACCTGCTGGACTCAGGTGATCCTTCCATCTTAGCCTTCCAAGTAGCTGGAACTTCAGGCATGTACCACCACGCCTGGCTATTTAAAAAGAAAATTTATTTGTAGAGATGAGGTTTTGCCAAGTTGCCCAGGCTGGTCTTGAACCCCTGGACTCAGGCCATCCTCTCCCCTCCGCCTCCCAAAGTGCTGGGATTATAGGTGTGAGCCACCGCACCTGGCTGAGAGCAGAGGTTTTTAACCAGGACCACATATTTGAATCACAGGGAACCTTTAGAACCACTCGTGTTTGGGGTTCATGTCCAGAGTCTGATTCAAATTATTTCTGTGCATACTACTTACTGGGAGTTGAAGAGTCTCCCCAGGTTACGCTCATGGACAGCCAGGGTTGACATACACTGGTATAGAGGCTGGAGACTCCACACAGAGGAGGCCAGAAACAGAAACACATGGGCTCAAATTCTGGCCTCTGGGCATGACACGTAACGTCTCTGCACAGCAGAAACACGATTTTCTTAAGCTTCCTGGGTGGGTTAAGTGCGTTATAAGAATGGAAGGGTGGCTGTCCCAACACTGTCACACAATTCTCTTCTGAACTGAAACTTCTTTTTTTTGAGTTGGAGTCTCTCTGTTGCCCAGGCTGAAGTGGCGTGCTCATTGCCACCACAGCCTCGACCTGCTGGGCTCAGGTGAGAGGATTAGCCAGGCATGGTAGGGTGCGCCTGTAGTTCTGGCTACTTGGAAGGCTGAGGCAAAAGGACTGCCGGAGCCCAGCAGGGGATTGAGCACACCTGGCAGAGACATGTGCACTTCCACAGTTCGGATAGCTCAGCGGTATGTCTTAGTTACTGGTGACTTTCAAGCCTCAGCAAATCAGCAGTCCATGAATGGGTTGGGAGTCTCACTCTGTCACCCAGGCCGGAGTACAGTGGAACGCTCACGGCCACCGCAGCCTCGACCTACTGGGCTCAGGCGATCCTTCCGTCTCAGCCTTCCAGGTAGCTGGAACTACAGGCATGTGCCACCAGGCCTGGCTATTTAAAAAAATTTTTACTGTAGCCATGAGGTTTTGCCAAGTTGCCTCGGCTGGTCTCGAGCCCCATGACTCAGGCAAATCCTCTTGCCTCGGCCTCCCAAAGTGCTTGGATTACAGGCGTGAGCCACCGCGCTCAGCCTAAAATATTTTTACAAAAGGGAATGGTAGCATTCATCATTTGTTTTTTCATTCATTCATCACTCAAAAAAGCATTTACCGAGCCCCCGCGGAGCACAGGAGCGGGGGTACATGTTTCCACATGCTGTGAAGCTACGACTGACCCCCTCCCTTCCCCATGGGGCTGGCATATTTCCACCAATGACGAGGTCATTGTGTCCCAGGGAAATCGGTCCTGTGTGGGGCTGGCTTTGACTCTCCCCTTGTCTTGCCAACAGCCATCCTTACCCCACCCGGGTTGGACGTCACCAAGGATGGCTTCCACCTGGTTATTGAGCTGGAAGACCTGGGACCCCAGTTTGAGTTCCTTGTGTTCTACTGGAGGAGGGAGTCTGGCGCCAAGGTGAGATTCCCGCCTTGGCCTTTGGGTTGGGCTTTGGGGAAAGAGGCGCAGACCTCAGGGTGGGCAAGGGAAGCCGGTGCCTGCGGTGCATGCTGTCTGGGCAGCCTGAGGATGAGTCCTGGGTGGTGTGTGCAAAAGATGAGAGCACATGCCATGGGTCTCTTATTCTTTTTGAGTTGGAATCTCACTCTGTCGCCCAGGCTGGAGCTGCCGAGACTGGAGTGCAGTGGCACACTCACCGCCACTGCAGGTTCAACCTGCTGGGCTCAGGCGATCCTTCCACCTCAGCCTTCCAAGTGGCTGGGACCATAGGCATGCGCCACCATGCTTGGCTAATTTTTTGATTTATTGTAGAGACGGGGTCTCGCCCTGTTGCTCAGGCAATCCTCTTGCGTCGGCCTCTCCAATCCTGATCTCAGGCAGTCCTCTTGCCTCGGCCTCCCGAAGTGCTGGGATTACAGGCGTGAGCCACCACACCTGGCCAGCTTCTTCTTCAAAGAACGGCCGTGGTCCGTGGCAGGCCACGGCAAGAGTCTCTCCAGGGCAGAGCTGCTGAAGCCTTGCCCTAAACTCTAAGCTCGTTGGACTGAGGACGCCTTTTCAATACATTTTTTCCCCTCCCTCATAAGCCGGCTTCCTCAGCTACTTAGGGGAAGCAGGTCAGGTGTTCCAGATCAACTGGATGATTTCAAAAGCACGAGAGGCTGGTACAAGCCTCGGAGGGTGTGTATCCTGGCAGGGCGCAGGAGCTGGGGTGGGGAGCCCGGGCTGGCTTGTGAATAAACCTGTCTGATGATGAGAATCAGCCAAGCAGAATGCCCAGGTGGGTGCTGCTCCGACCATGGGAAGAGGGCTGCGGTCTAGGATGGGGCGAGGGGGAGCCCAGCCTCCACAGGGCAATGGCCAAACAAGCAGCAGCAGCAGAAGGTGGAGGGGCGTTCAAGCAGGAACTGGGGGACACTGAGACCTGTGGAGCCCCGTCCGAGCTGGTAGGCGACAAGGCCTCGAGATGCACTTCAGCCACCACAAGGACAGACAGGCTTGGTCACAGGTGTCTCAGCAGGGGGCCTCTCGCAAGATCAGTGAACAGGGCTGGCAAGGCGGGGCTGCAGCCCCACTCACCAGGAGGCCCCCGCTCGAGGAACCTCTTCCCCTCTGATGGGTCTTCTGCATTGCACGCTTTCTGTGAATTTCTCCCAGCACATCCCCAGGCCCCGATCCCTCATCACTCTTTTCCACGTGTGCCTGTGACGTGCTTTGCCGGTCCCCAAGGCCTCTCAGGCCTGACTCCCCTCTCTGTGTCCCCTCTCCTTTGTCCTTGCTTCTTTTTTTTTTTTTGAGTCAGAGTCTCACGATTGCCCGGGCTGGAGTGCAGGGGTACGCTCAGGCCACCGCAGCCTCGACCTGCTAGGCTCAGGTGGTCCTTCCATCTCAGCCTTCTGAAGAGCCAGAACTACAAGCGTGTGCCACTGTCCCTGGCTAATTTTTTGATTTATTGTAGACACGAGGTCCTACCAAGTTGTCCAGGCTGGTCTCGAACCTCTGGGCTCAGACGATCCTCTCGCCTCGGCCTCCCAAAGTACTGGAGCGACAAGGCACACCACCACGCCTGACTCAGTTTTTGATTTATTGTAGAGACAAGGCCTCGCCATGTGGCTCAGGCTGGTCTCGAACCCCTGAGCTCAGGCAATCCTCTCTCTTCCACCTCCCAAAGTGCTGGGATGACAGGCGTGAGGCCACCGCGCCCGGCTTGTCTCTGCTTCTAACCCTAGGCCTTTGGTTTCCTGAGACCAAATCCTCAGAAGAAGAAGCTTATCGGGCTAAGCAGGTCGCCAGCTGGACTCTGATCGGCCCCTTCAGGATCCAGGGGTACCCTTGGTCTTACAGCAGCATCTGGGGAGCAGGACACATGCCCTGCCTCGCCTTCCACAGGGACTGGAGTTGGGTGACTTCCCCTGAAAGGTGTGTGGGCAGATGGGGCCACCATAGCACCGGGTTCCAGGATTTAGGGCAGGCCCACTGGTGGGACACGGCATTGCCAGACAGGCAGATGGAGCCGTGTGGGGGCAGACCGGGGCCTGGGCAGGAGAGAGCATGCGGCGCCTTCAGATTCCTTGGGAGGGAGCCCACTCCCTACCCCGTAGCTGGCAGGGCTGGTGCCCAGCCAAGAGCATGTGCCCTGAGTCATCAGGGCTTGGTCCAGACAAGCCTCCGCAGGCTCAGATGTGGACACAGGCCCTGGGGAGGGGTAAACAGGTGGATGGACAGACGGGTGGTCGGGTGGCTGAGAGAGAGGGCACTGCCACCTCCCTGCTCTTGTGCACTGAGCCCCTTGGCAGCAGTGGCCATGCCAAGCTCCTGCTGGGTCCGATTTCTAATCTTCAGGCCTCTGTCCAAATGTTGCCCTGAGAGAGGCCTTCTGTTCCCATTCTGTTTTAAAAAGCACCTCCTCGGCCGGGCGCGGTGGCTCAAGCCTATCAGCCCAGCACTTTGGGAGGCCGAGGTGAGAGGGTTGCCTGAGCCCACGGCTTTGAGACCAGCCCTGACAACTTGGTGAGACCTCATCTCTACAATGAATTAAAATAATTAGCCGGGCATGGTGGCACATGCCTGTAGTTCTAGCTACTTGGAAGGCTGAGGCGGAAGGATCGCCGGAGCCCAGCAGGTCGAGGCTGCGGTGGCCGGGAGCAGCCTCTGCACTCCAGTCTGGGCGACAGAGTGAGACTCCAACTCAAAAAAAAAAAGCACCTCCTCGCCCTCTCTGCCTCTGTGTCCTGCTTTCTTCTTCACAGCCCTTATCACCACCTGACCCAGATTTATACATTATCCGTCTCCTCCCACGTAAGCTGCAGGAGAGCAGGGACTTGGTTTGTTTTGTTCAATGTTATGTCCCGGCGCCCACAACCATGCCTGGCACATGGTAGGTGCTGAATAAATATGAATGACTGATGCACGCCGTGGTGCACGCCTGTCATCCCAGCACTTGGGAGGCAGAGGCTAGAGGATCGCCTGAGGAGCCCAGGGGTTCGAGACCAGCCTGGGCAACCTGGTGAGACCTCGCCTCTACAGTAAATAAAAAAATTAGCCGGGCTTGGTGGCGTGAGCCTGTGGTCCCAGCTCCTTGGAAGGCTGAGACGGAAGGATCGCCTGAGCCCAGCAGGTCGGGGCTGCGGTGGCCGTGAGCGTGCCACTGCCCTCCAGCCTGGGCAACAGAGTGAGACTCCAACTTCAAGCATATATGTAAATAAATGTGAATGAACGAACAGACGTGTGCCCAAAGGAGAGGGGACATTCTAGAGGCATCTGGGAAGGAAGTTTCTGCAGATTTCTCTCCCTGGCACTTTTCGCCCTTTCTAGTTCTGCTGCCCTCGGGGAATAACTGTACCTTGGTTTCTTGAAGGAACAAGTTAAAACCGTGAGGCGTGGGGGCATTCCAGTACACCTGGAGACCATGGAGCCGGGGGCCCCCTACTGTGTGAAGGCCCAGACATTCGCAAAGGCCATCGGGAGACACAGTGCCTTCAGCCAGGCAGACTGTGTCGAGGTCCAAGGTAAGGCCGGCCTCCCTGTCCCCTGGAGCCCTGCACAGGGGACGGCCCCTCTGGGTGCCTGTTTGATGCTTGCTGCGTTCCTTTGGTTCTGAGACTTCCCTTGATTTCACTGACCTCCCCTCACCCCGGCAGAGCTGAGTGGGTTCCCGGGGAAAGTGTGCAGTCACTCTGATTCCCTGGAGGCAGGAGTCCACACTGGGGCTGGGTGGGGTCACTTGAGCAGCTTTCTGGAACACTTTCCCCTTTAAAGCTTCCTCGGCCTGGGGCCAGATGCTGCAAGACTGGTTTACCAGATGGTTACTGGCTGTGTATTGGAGGAGGGGACACAGGAGAGGCAGCCAGAGGCTTCGAGAGGGTCACTGGGGAATTTCACGGCTTCTGACCTCTGGAAGGACCTTATGGAAAGTCTGCAGAACCCTCTTGTTTGAATTAATTTTCCCCTTGAATAGCTTAAGGTCTGAAAACCTACAATGTTTAAAACCCTTTGAAAATAGACAAAACTGAACAAGACCCAGCATCCCATGATTCTGCCACTCAAACACTAGTTACAATTTTGTGTATAGCCTCTTAGTCTTTTTTAAGTGACTAATGATATCTTTGGGGTTTTTTTGTTTGTTATTTTGAGTTGGAGTCTCACTCCTTTGCTCAGGCTGGAGTGCAGTGGCATGCTCATGGCCACCACAGCCTCAACCTGCTGGGCTCAGAAGATCCTTCCGTCTCAGCCTTCCAAGTGGCTGGGACTACAGGTGTGCATCCTCACTCCCGGCTAATTATTATTATTATTTTTTGGATTTATTGTGGAGACGAGGTCTTGCCATATATCTCAGGCTGGTCTTGAACCCCTGGGCTCAGGCAATCCTCTTGCCTCCACCTCCCAAAGTGCTGCGATTATAGGCATGAGCCACTGTACCTGGTTTAATTACATTTTTTTTTTGAGTTGGAGTCTCACTCTGTCACCCAGGTTGGAGTGTCATGGCATACCCATGGCCACCGCAGCCTCTGCCTGCTAGGTCCAGGCATCCTTCTGCCTCAGCCTTCCAAATAACTGGAACCACAGGTGCGTGCCACCACACCTGGCTAATTTTTTTGATTTATTGTAGAGAAGAGGTCTTGCCATGTTGCCCAGGCTGGTCTCGAACCCATGGGCTCAGGCAGTCCTCTCACCTCAGCCTCCCAAAGTGCTGGGATGACAGGTGTGAACCACCGCACCCAGCTTGTTTCCTTCCTTAAAATTATTTTTTGGAATTCATATCACAGGAGTGGATGAAAGGGCATGAACACGTGTGTGTCTTTTGACGTATGCTGCCAAAATCTTCCCCAAAGCATCGAAACCCAGTGCAATACCCCAGCCCCATGTGTGAATTCACTGGCTGCAGGTGACTGGAGTTTAAAATGTAAGAATAAATACACAATTTTTAATAAATAAATTCTAGTTTGGGGGGATTCACCCATATGCTGGGGCTAATGACCGCCTTCCCAGTACTGGTCCAGAGAGACTAACTGAGTTGCTTGAGGTCACACAGAACAGAGCCGTGAGAAAATAACCTGCTCCTTCCTCTGCATCTCCTGAAGCTCAGGTTAGGCTCTTTCTGTTACGTTTATTTGGTAAAATGACCATGGGCTTGGGAGCCATCCCTTCCCGTGTGACCTGGGGTAAGTCACTTAACCATCCTGAGCATAGATTCCCCTTGTATACAAGCAGAAATACTCACCCTCGTTGTGAAGAACAAATGATGACACGCCCAGTCCTGACAGAGTGCTGGGAAGGCAATCGTTAGCCCCAGCAAACGGGGGACCTCCCCAAACCAGAATTGATCAAAACTGTGTGTTTATTCTCACATGTCAAACTCTAGTCACCTTCAAATGACTCTCCATTTGATGCACCGATCGAGATGCTTTTTCCATTGCTCAAAACAGTTTTTGAGCTCGTCAATTTTGAGGACTTTTAGAGCTTCTGTCGCTTCATATTGGTGAAAGCACTTCCCTTTGAGGACTCTTTCTCATCCAGGGAAACCAAGAAAAGTCCCTTGGGGCAAGATCGGGTGAAGAGGGAGGGTGGAGCACCAGGGGGATCATGCTGCTTGGGGTCAAAAACTGCCGAACGCTCAGCACATGTGGGCAGGTGTGCTCATAAATCGCCCGTCATGAAATGGGCAAACATGTGGAAAGAATCTCCACACACACACACACACATATCAGCCGGGCTCGGTGGCTCAGCCTGTAATCCCGCGCTTTTGGGAGGCTGAGGTGAGTGGATGGCCTGAGCCCGCGGGTTCGAGACCCACCTGGGCAACTTGGC